AATCTACTTATTACATTGCAAGTAGCAAGTATGTCATTCATACGCTTTTGGTTGACCGACTGCCTTTCAACTCCGTCCTATGCATTGAACAGCGTTGAAGGCAACTGCCATTAGGGCACGCAAGTAGTGGGTCAGGTAGGATTAGTCTCACTGTAAACGCTCCTCTTTTACTTTCCTACTCACTGCTCCTTGAGAGTGGCACTGCTTCGCTTAGTACACTACAGTGTCCATCAATCAACCTCGGTTCTGCTTATTTGCAAATTAAGTAGCTCCTTTGCCTTTGCTTGTCAGCTTAGTGCCTAGCTTGGCTCAGTAATGAGATTTGGAGCCAACAATCAGGGAGAATTTAGCATTACTGCCATACCTTTGCGGTGGTCTTTTCCGACTCTTTGTTATCTTCCAGTGAAAGCTCAACACCAAACTCGGTGAAGATTGACTTGATCAAACTGCTGCATCTGATCATCGAGACACATGCATACGAGAGTTACAAAGAACTCGCAGATACTCTCAATGAGGTGGGTACGCTTGATTTCTAACCTCACTTCCGTTTCTTCCCCGGCCGTGAGTGGGTAGTTGGTCTACTCCTTTTGTCTTTTACTCAGATCACGCAAACTGCGATCTCAGACCCTTTTTATCGTGTATGCTACGAAGGCATGGACCTGGCACAAATCCTCGTTCAACGAAAACCATTAGGTAATTGCCTCAATGGGTGCGCATCACTTGAAGCCAATTGTCTTGGGCGTGAGATGTGGAGAATGAGGAATTTGTGTCTACTTTTAGATCAGATTCCTTCCATGGTGACTCTGTTCCCGGTCCTCCTGAATGAGCTTAAAATGGACAAATGCGACCTTGAGCTTAAGGAGAAGGCAATGGATGCTGTGTAGGTCATCCTTTGCCTCTTTCTCAAACTTTTATCCACTTTTCAACTGCAGCTCGAACTTTATTGAACAATTGGGGCAGGATTTGTCACCCGATTGCCTCCAAGAGACGCTGAATCAGTTCACCAACTATTTGGACAGCGAGACGACCCGAATTTCTGCCATTCGTTCACTTTCCGTCATCTATGCTTATGGAGTGACTTTAAAGAAAGCGGTTCTTATCTAGTCATAGAATACCGTTAAAAATTCAATTTTTCTCTTGCATATTTAAGAGTTCTATGACTATCTAAACTTGCAAGAAATTTAGAAAATAAGATAAAATTAGCGCAAAGATATCCGAAAGAAACACAACTGAAACTCATCTTTCAACCCCCTGACACACTACTTTTGCCCCACTTAAGTAGGCACTCAAACACTCTTCCGCGAGTGAGCAGT